TTCCCAGGCAAGAATACTGGAGTGGGTTGCTGCTTCCTCCTCTAGGGGATCTTCCCAACCCAGGGACTGAACCTGTGTCTCCCTGTCTCCTGCATTGGCAGGCAGAAACTTTATTGCTGAGCCACCGGGGAAGCCCATTGTTTTGTTTACTACTTGCTAATAATTGGATTTGACTGAATAATAGCCTACAGATTGAGAATATAGTAAACATCAATTCTGAGAGAATTACTGGTGGCAAATTCTGCTTTCAGATTTATGGAAAGCACCCAAATTCCCTGCTTTATAGGCTTCATTCATTCACTCAATCAACATTTATTGAGTACCTATTATGTGCCAGACACTGTCAGGGATGCTGGGTGTACAGCAGCAGAAAAGACAGACTCAGGCCCACTGCTCAGAGTGTATATCCAAGTAGGAGAACATAAGATAACAGGAGAAGATGGTATAAAGAAAGGAAAAGTTTATGAATTATAGGATCATGGAAGAGAAACAGCAGCTATTTTAAGTCACTGGAAGCCTCACTGATGATGTATTATTTGAACAAAGATCTGAATCCTGAGGATTATATGATTTTATAAGAAAAATGATAGATATCTGACTTTGTTAACAGTTAATACTGTTGGCTCATGTATTATGTCCTATGTGTATTTAATAAACCCACCATCCTTCCCTGACCTGGGTGCACGTCAAGGGTTTGGGATAAGGAAGTGGGGGGATTTTTCAAGTCTTTCTGATGAACAATTAAAAAATTTTTTACTGTTATGTTTTTAATTTCAATACAAGCCTATCACATGAGACCTTAAAATACAAGCATAAATGTTTATAGTAAAAGAGGTTACTGGGTAGAGAAGACAAAACTTACATTCCAAAATCAGAACTGAAATTTGGATTAGGGATCCGCAGGTTTACTATCTGTATGGCTCTGGGCAAGTCACCTAACATTTTATAATTCTCAGTTTTCATCTCTACAGAGGCAAGCTCACTCTACTTGCATGATTTAGGGCAATTAAAAAAAACAAAAAACAAAAAAGACTTGGTACACAGGAAGTACTTAAACAATTGTAACCATAATCTTTGCCATACATATGAAAGCACCATGCTCAGTATCTGACCCAGTGTAGGCGCCTGCCTCTTGGTTTCCTTCCTATTCATTTGCATTATCAGTTCCTCTGCAGTTTTTCATTTGTCCAGATAAACAAGAGTTGATGGTATGTGCACTTTTGCTTGATAGAATTTCATAGGACTCATTTCATCAGTGCATGATTAGCTTCAAAGCTTCGAATCTAACCCAGTTTTGAGATAACTGGGAAACGAAACTAAGTGGAGAGAACAAATGCAGCATTGTAAGAGAAGCAAAAGTCAGCTTGAGGTTGTCTGATGTTTTTAAACTAACATCATCTTTAATCTCCTATGCCCTTCTTCCCAGATAATAAGAGCTGTGCACTAAAAGTGCTGAGATAAACTAATGGGGAACAGGATACTACAAAAGACATTTGAAAGAGCCCATGTAATTTACTGCATGTCTGGTTTGTTTTACTTTCCAAAGCCTTCCTGTTGCTCCAGGAAATTTGTCTTTTCTGGCAACCTTCGGCCCTCTTTTGGCCGGGGAGCACTGAAAAAGGATTTGAGGGCAGGTAAACAGATGCAAAGCTTTCTAAGTGGAGGAGTAAGCACAGGCCTTGCTTCCTGGGTCACATCTGAGACATAAACAAAGTATCCTTTAGTACTAGCTTGTGAGAATTATTCCAAATGTAGGCAACCAAGAGGCTGCTGGCCTTCAGATATGCATAAACTCCCAACATGTTCTGATGGTAATTTACATGTGTGGACCACTAAAAGCGTCCTACTCAATGAACTGTATTCCTGGGGAGATGCTAGGCCTGGATCAGTGTGGGAACAACATAAGGGTGTCCTCTGTGCCAAAAAGGGGATTGGGTTAGATGGAAAACCCCCCAAAAGGACCATCTGGCAGCATAAATTATCCACTTAAAATGGCTGGTGTGAATTAATGACACCAAAGCCACCAGGAACATGTACAACATCCTTCAGTTGAGTTCTAATGTCCCCTCAGGCCCTGTTTCAATTATGACTTCCTATGCTGAATATGGACAAATGTAAATTTATCCACAGTCCCCTCCCCCCACCCCGCATATATACCATGGAACTGCATTTTTCAACAATGAAACAGAAATAGAGAACGGAACATCAGTCCAGGAATACAGTAAAACTAATGGATTTCTCTAAAAGTATAAATTTTTTTTCTTAGAGAACCCCCCTACAATTAATTATATGCTTACACTATGTGTGTATATATATATACACACACATATATATATAGCATGTGTGTGTATATATATATATATATATATTATAATATGTAGTGTAATTACCACATGTGTTTGTGTGTGTGTGTGTGTGTGTGTGTGTGTATATATATATATATCCTCCCCAAAAGGATTTAGCTATTAGACTTTAGTTATTTAATGACCATAAGGGATATAGTTTATTCAAATGTTAAAATTTATGATCAGTTGAATCATAACATTCAGAAGAGAGGAACAGAATTACTCTGAATAAAAGAGTCACTAGGTCAACATATTCTATATTCAACCTACTCCCACAGCCCCCACATAGGCCCAAAGGAATCTACTTAAGGATCCAAAAGACAGTCTCCTGGTAGAGGAGCTTCATGTACATCAACACACAAAAAAGCAGCTCAGTCTGTGTAAAACCGAGTTAGTATGACCCTCAAGCATAATGTCCTAAACCTACATATTTTGATTCTCACTTTCACAGAAGCAGGTAAACTGGCCAGGACTTTAACTGGCCTTTTAAAAAGGGTTCAAAGAACATCTAGATCTTTTAATTTTTTAACAGCACATAAGCTTCTCATTGGCACTATCCTGAGGTCATGCTAGTGTGCATTTGGCAGCACGGGTGGTCAGCACGTTCATTTAGGCCACGATGTATTTCTTGACCGCTATCAGCAAACTGGCATGGATTTCAGTGTGGGGTGAGCTGATGGTAGCCCTCTGTAAAAGACCCATCACATCCTGAGCACTATGTTGATGATACTTAGAAAATGGTGGCACCAGAGGCTAAACCGCATCCTTATGCCTCCCGTATCACCACATAATGATCTTCTTATGTGTCTGTTCTCCACCCCAACTGTGAATTCCTTGAAAGCAGGAGCCACAACCTTCTCATTCAGCTTTGAGTTCCCAGAACCAGGCATAGTGCCTCATCCACAAAAGAGTTCCCAGTGAAACTGTGAGTGAATGAATGGATGAGTTGGGTAAAAAGATTAGGTAGAAGGGAGGCAAAGTGAAATCTTTGCATTTTGGTAAAGGGAACAAGATATAAAGGACTCAGCTAGTGGGGACCAAGATTTTATTTTTAATTATCATACAGTAAAACTGCCTGGGGGTTCAGAAGTGGAAGGCATGCATTTCTATTAATATGAATGTTAACACATGTATAGATTCTTGTAACCACCACCACAATCAGGATACAGAACAGTTCCATCATCCCCCAAGCCTCTGCTGTGTTGCTTCCTCCATAGTCACACTCTCTGAAGATTCTCTTTTGATATGTTGGGGGAGAGAAAGGAGTTAAGATTGAAGGTGAAGGGGTTCAGAGATTTTCTCGGTGCTTGTTTTTGCAGGGAATTACTCTGAGGCAAGAATTGGGAAAATCTTTTCAAACTTACTGTGCTAGGTATAATTCTTAGTTGGGTTATATATATTACCTCATTTAATTCTCAAGAGCACTGAAATATCTACTATTATTGACAGATGATAAAAATGGGGACACTTGGTCTCAGAGAGGTTAGGTGGTTTGCCCATAATTACACAGCCAGCAGAAGCGGAGCCAGGATTACACTCAGCCTGTCTTTTTCCAAAGCCCACTCTATTCTCTGCATCATTAGACTTTGCATATTGAGAAAGGTACCAGAGAGATTCTCCCTTGCCAATCTGGAGGTTATAGACGCTGAGAAAAGTTTCAAAAGGCTTCTGATATCAGAATTAGTCACATTGCTCAAGACTCCAGAGTCAGGACTAAACTACCCCAGGAGGTTAGACTAGCAGTCATCATTTGCTTAGTTCAAGAAAGATAGACATAAAGATAGCTGTTCCTTTTATTTTCTCTTTTAGCTGTTCCTTTTAAATAGAAAAAGAATTGTGATGACAAAACATATTTAAAAGTTTCCTCATTTTATAAAGATCCAAGTGCAAGCTACTGCACAGGGAGCCCTTCTTTCTCCTCTAATGCTACTGATGCAGTCGAAAAAGTTGATGGATTTTTATTTTGATTATTAAAAGATAAAACCAAACCCAAAAGGCAATTAGCATAAAATGAAAGCCAAGGCAAATGGAACGCTGGATTGCAGTGCAGTGAAAACATCTCAGAGTAGAAAACCCTACACACCATTCTCAATCTTTCATCTCAGCTGAATGGCATCCTTGCACTGCCATCCTTTCATAAAAGCAGCAGTCAGAAAAAGAGACTCAGATGTATAGAACAGACTTGTGGACTCTGTGGGAGAAGGCGAGGGTGGGATGTTTCAAGAGAACAGCATCGAAACATGTATATTATCTAGGGTGAGACAGATCACCAGCCCAGGTTGGAAGCATGAGACAAGTGCTCGGGCCTGGTGCACTGGGAAGACCCAGAGGGAGTGGGTGGAGAGGGAGGTGGGAGGGGGGGCCAGGATGGGGAATACATGTAAACCCATGGCTAATTCATTTCAATGTATGACAAAAACCACTGCAATGTTGTAAGGTGATTAGCCTCCAACTAATGAAAATAAATGGGAAAAAAAAAAAAAGCAGCAGTCAGGTACAAACACGTGTTCATGTGGAGAAAGTCAGAAAGTCCACTGCTCTGAGCTCACTCCCTTCGCTTTCTGCCTGGCGTCACTCCCTCCTGCCCGCCACCCCCGCACCACATCTTCACAGTGGCTTCACAGTGACTTCACAGTGGCTGCCTGCCCTGCTTACCTGGCTCCACTTCATGCCACCCGCTGGACTGGCTTCCGCTCCCCGGGGAGCGCCCTTGGCCTGTGTAAAATGGCTCTTCACCAGGACTGTCCATTTCATCCTCCACAGACTTGAGGCGCTTCGTGGAGCTGAAATAACAAATGGGTACATGTTTAAAAGCCATCCAAACCACCCTTCCCCTGGACGTGGCATCTCTGGTGGAAAGCAAGCCAAGGGAGGAAGCAATTGGGTAACTCAGTGTAGTTTCGTGGGCTTCTTTGGGCTCCTGTTCAGTTCAGTGAGTCATTGGATGGAGAACAAACTCTTGGGTCTATGTTGTTCCAAGTGTCTGGGTTTGGTTTTTATTGTCACTTGAGTTGCTGCTGCTGCCACATCCGGTTCCTTTTTCCTTTGAGGAACTGCTGGCTGGCTCCGTCTCCTGTCTGCACCTGGAAGACTGGGTAGTAAGCCCACATGTGTATCTCCCAGAGTGTTGGCTGGGGCGTTGCCATCAGCAATGATCCTAGACATCTACTCAACCCCTCTGGCACCCCAGGAAAGAGAAAAATCAGGGCACACAACCCTTGAAGAAAATCCTGAATTGCCTTTTGTTGTTTTTTTGCCATATTTTCTCATCTTCTACTTAGATCTTCTCATTTTAAAAATATTTATTGCACAGTGACAATACCTTCCTTCTACTTTTGTCTCATTCGTTCACTGTTTTATCTCTAGTGCCTAGACTGGGACCTGGCCTCCTGTCACTGTGCAGGCTCTAGAGATAAAACGGTGAACCAACAAGACAAAAGTAGAAGAATTCTACTTATTCTCCTTGTGAGAATAAGGGACATGGAAAAAAGAGTGACCCAGTGACTTGCATGTCACTTCTCTACAAGGAAATTACCAAAAATGAAGTTCTATGCCATCAAGTGGGGATATTTTCGTTTTGGAGAAGTATGGTTGGGAAATCTCCAGAATATATTCTATTTCTTCCAGTTAAAGAACTGAGGTCTTTTTCTCCCAATTTGAGGTTATAAGAGTTAAAAGGTAGTGAAATGCTACATGTTGCTAATGTTGTTCTAATTGTATTAACTGAATATGTAACTAACATACCAGAAGGAGTAGATTTCATACCTGGTGTGAGTACTAGATGAGTAATCTCTTCATCATATGTCAGGTACAGAATTTTTAATATATGTTCTTTCATCAAACATTTATTGTGCACCTCCCACATGCCAGGTACGGTGCTAAAGGCTAGAATATTGAAATAAATCAGATATAACTCCTGTCTTCATGGGGTTTACAATCTCATGGATGAAGAACAAAAGGTAAACAAAATTGTGCAAAGAGAAATACAGGTATGATGGTGGAACCAGAGGTTATAGTGGGCTCCTTGATGGAGGAAGAAAACAATGATACACAGAGAAGGTCGGGAAATGATGCCCAGAGGAGATGGTTCCTGAACTGTCTGTAAGAGAGGGGGTTAGGAGACGGGGCAGAAAGAAGAACAGGGCAGGGACAGGTTATTATTCAGCTGATGCACTCCTGAGGCAGCCATTCTGGATTTTAAGATACTGAAATACTTTATCATCTGGCAAAGTGCCACTCTCAAGCTCCTCATGTTTGCCCCAACTTTGTCACCCCATCTTTGGCCCAGGACAGCCTCGTGATCCCAAACCTAAAGGGTTAAGGTATGGCACATTAGAGGTATTCCAGGCTTTGGCACTGTGGCAGGGCAGGTCTGTCCTAACTGGTATGCTCCTATCACCCAGGTTATTAGCCATTCCCAACATCACTCTGGGAGGGAGGTGCATGTCAAGCAGAAACAATACCACAAGCAGTGTGCGACACTCGCAGAGAGCTGACAGGTGTTTACTATGGTTAAAGTGGCAGGAGAAAGATGGGGTGAAGGTGATAGAAGATATTGTATGTCTGGACTTATCCTACAAGCAATAGAGGCTCCCTGAATAGATCTAAACAGGAAGTGACGTCAGGGTCATCTGTCAGAAAAGTCATTCTGGTAGTTGCAGAGATGATGGCTTTTGAAAAGCTAAGGGAAAAGAAGGGGACAGAACCTCCCCCCGGGAGACAGTTAAGAGGCCACTGCAGCCATCCAAGTAAAAAACTGAGGAAGGCCCAGTTCAACATACAAAATTCTAGTTACTGAAGTTGCCATTTCAGGAGTGTTAGCCTTTAAGCTCTATTCTCATGAAAGCTAGATCACAAGAAAGCAACAGACCTATAGCATGCTAGCTTAGTATTCAAACGAAGAAACCTCTAGTGACTTATTTAATGTCCTTTGCTTGGCTTTCCTTGAAGTTTAATGAAAAAGATCCACTCAAATAATTTTTCTGTATTTTGTGTAAAACTGCATCGAACAGAAGTACTTTATCAAAGGACACACACAAAAAAATTCCTACTACATAAAACTAGAAAAAATGTGTATCTTTAAAAGAATTTCTAGTTTCCTTTTATTAGAAAAGGTACATTACATAACCTAGTGCTTTCCCTTCTTGCCTTGGGAACCAGGAATCTTAGGGCTAAACGTAAGGAATAACTCTGGGTTCAGGTTCCTGATATAAGAGTTTCTTCTATCTTTCCACACAGTTTCTGCCCTCTCTGTATTTAATATTATCTGTTGTATTTTTTAAATTGAAAGCCACTTGAAATAATTTTAGTTAGAAGTTGAAAGAATACAAATTGGAAACAGAATAAATATTTTCTTATGTTCCCTGGCAAATGAAAGGCAAGACCTACATTCTCTGACAGGAGCTTGAGATCTGTAGAGAAGGAGATTATCAGGATTTTTTTTTAAAAATCTCTAGTGCCTATCACAGTATCTGACTAATAACAGATGCTCAAACACTGCTGAATTGGGCTACAGATTTAGAAACAGTCACATAAGTGCTTGTGACAAGGATTCGCCCAAGTGTTATGATTCAATGAGATCCCACCCAAAAGGCCAACTTCATTACCTGTCCTTCTCCAAGTATCAATATTTTTCTGAGTTTCTAATGCTTTTGATTTCCTTGGTGTCCTCTAGAATAAAATGCAAATACTCATGCATTAAGAGTTAGTTACTCAATTGTATTCGACTCTTTATGGCCCCATGGACTGTAGCTTTCTATGATCCTCTGTCCATGGAATTCTCTAGGCAAAAATATCTGATTGGGTCGGTAGCCATTCTCTTCTCCAGGGGATCTTCCTGATGCAGGGAGATTCTTTATCATCTGAGTCACTAAGGAAGCCCTACTCATGTGGTTATTAAATCCTAAAGGTGAGAGAGTCTACAGATATTAGCTGACCCTTCAGTTTGAAAGCAAGGACTGTCAGGGGTTGACACAGGATAAATGTTGGGAAGGTGGAGATACAGGCTAGAGGAAAGAACAAGATCCAGGAGGGAAGAAAATTAGAAGTGCCAGAAGCGATGGGTGGAGGGCTTCCAGGACAAAGTTTACTGACTTCACAAACCTGACAGCTGGTTTATCTTGATGAAGTTCTTTGGGATAAGAAAAGTATATTTCATCCCAAGTTTTACATTACCCCTTCTATGATTTTGAACATATTTACTGGAAGGAATACAGAAGCTACAGCTAATGCCTATCAACCTTCTTTATTTTTTTTAATTTAGATATGAATCAGTCACTACTTTTGTCCCCCCTTTTTTTTTTTTTTTAATTTTGGCCGTGCTGCACAGCATACAGTATCTTAGTTCCCCAACCAGGGATGGAACCCGTGCCCTCTGCAGTGGAATCTCAGAGTCCTAACCACTGGACAGCCAGGGAACCCCCAGTTATTAATTCTGGTTTCTTGCTCTTGACTATCTAACACAAATTTTATTCTCCCAGAAACACTTGAGGGACACAGGAAAGGACCAGTGAGGTCTCTACACAAGAAGGGGGATAAATACTCTTTTAAGTAATGATACACCATCTCTTCTTGGGTGTGGAATTTGATCTGTCTTTAGCAATACTACCTAGAAATTAAGGGAAGACTATTACCTTCATTTCAAATATTTGCTTAATTCCTACTATGTGCAAAGCCTAGATGCTTTATCTTGTCCCTAAAGAACAGCAAAATGCCTCTTTCCTGAGTGTTCCTAATGCTCTGAAGTAAAAATCTTCATTCACTCGTCAGTCTGTATCGTGAGACTGCAAAGCTCCTGTTACTTGACTTTACATCCATAGTGCCTTACGGATCTCATATCCTTGGGACTTAATACGTGTTTGCGGCTGAATTGGAAGAGTTTGGCAGGGGTTCCCAACCTCCGTATTATGGAACAGTACCTCCTGTCAGATCAGCAGCAGCATTAGATGAGAAATAAAGTGCACGATAAATGTCATGTGCTTGAATCATCCCAACCACTCCCCCCACCCCAATCCGTGGAAAAACTGTCTTCCTTGAAACTGGTCCCTGGTGCCAAAAAGGTTGGGGACCGCTGCTCTAAGGGATCTGCAGTCCAGAAGGGGTGGCAGGAACTGTATATACCTCCAAGATGATAATAATAATTCAAAATAGCAAATGCTAACTGTCCATGAAAAGTAGAGATGCCAGATAATTCTTTCTGGGGTCTTCCTATTCTGTTGTTCCTTCCTAAAAGAGTGAGACCCATTCCTAAGAGGATTCAGTGTCAAAATAGCATGGTTTTAAAGTTCCAACAGCTCCAAGTTTGAATGAAGACTCTGCTATTTACTTGGTCTGTGACCTTGGGCAAGTTACTTAACTTCTCTGAGTTGTGGGCTGACCCATTGTTACCCTCAACACTGTCTGTACTGTAAAATTACTGTGAAGATAAACTCCTATTAGGTATGTAAAGCACCTAATACAGTGACTGCCACAGAGCAGGTGACCAATTAATATTGGCACAGCATAAACAAAGACTGATTGGTTGATGAAATTTTCTATATGGAAATCTGGGGTATTCCTCTGGGCACAGTTCCTCAACTGTACACAGATAATTCTGCTGAGTCTATATATTTAAAGAATAATTTTAAAAGAATCATCTTAGGAGAGGCTAATGAGAGCAAAACAAACATATTACCAAGTTATTAACTACTGATGCTGTGTATAATTACTGCCTTATCAGGGTTAGCTATTTGCAGAATATGGGAAGGACACTAGCTTTCTAAAATACGTTAATAACCAGGATTCCATACAGAAAGTTGAAACAAAAGGCAAAAAACAGCTGGAGAAGCTGGGATGTCCATGGTACATGCACAGAGCACATATGAAAAACAAACAGTCAACCAACTTTTAAATTAATCACTAGCCACAAGTATTTGCAAAGCTTTTTTATGTTGACTAAGTGTAGTTACACACAATGGCCCTTCCATCAGCAAACATTCAAAATCCTCAGAATGTATTAATACCTGAATATGTTCAAAATCTCGTTCTTTTGTTATAAATGTTTTCCTTGAGGGGAGCGGGGGGGATGGTGCTGGAGACGACTTTTTTATACCCCAGTGAACTAGGGGGTACATTTAAATAACGTGAAAGATGGTGGTAGGACTTGGTGGTTATATTTGGGAAAATACTGTTTAACTGTCTTCAAGTTATTGGTAATGACTCAGCTGATAATTTTTTTAAGTAATGATGGTTAAAATACATAAAGTCAAGGTAAAAATGAGTCTCTATCAGGGAAAATTTCTATCATCTGGACATTGTTTTAAATCCTAAAACGCTCACTTTAGGAGGAATATACCTTTGTCAAATGTTTTTCTGCAAAGTACACAAACATTAAAGATCGTTCTGCACCATTCTTTTCTTTGTTGTCACAGTCCAGTGCTAAAGCCAATTTGTAAAAGAATACTGTGGGTTTAATGCCTAATCCCTTTCCCTCTGGTACAGGTTATCTGAAGACAACAGGATCTTGCAAAATGCTTTATTCTGATTTTGGCTTTGTGACCTCAAGGGGATCAAGCACCCTGGAATCGTTATCTGGTTGTGTTCTTTTAGCTTTACTCTTTTAAAGGTCTCCTGGTGCAACATGCTTGTGATCTGGCCCCACAATGCTGTCGGGCTGCATTTGCTTTTACATCTTCACACTAGGATATCAAATAGTTGCATCTCTCAGAGCAACTCCAATAGACCGATTTTGAGAACTTTCAGGGAGCAGAAGTAGGAAAAGAGCTGAAACTCAGCAGTAACATTTGCTGCGGGCATGGAGACTGGGACTCTTGTCCCAGGGCCAACTTTCTGCCAAACTAGCCAAAATACTTCCCTAGCCAAGCCTTGTCCTTAATTTTCTGAGGACATGCTATTTTCATACTCCATCCTGCCTCTATGTCTTTGCTCATGTCTTCACCCCACCCGGAATACCATTCCATGACTTTCCATCTCATTAATTTCAATTAATGCTTACAGTTTACGGCTGAACACAAGTCGCTCATTTTGGATAAAGCTGTCTTTAACTATTTTCAGCCCATGCCACAGAATTGACTGACTGATGTGTATGTGTGAGTCTGCATGTATATATGTGTGTGTGTGTGTGAGTTTATGTTATTGTTTAGTTGCTAAGTCATGTCCGATTCATTTGCAACCCCATGGGCTGCAGCCCACAGGCTCCTCTGTCCATGGGAATTCCCAGGAAAGAATACTAGATTGGGTTGCCATTTCCTCCTCCAGGGAGTTTTCCTGACTCGGGGGGTGGAAACTACATTTCCTGAACTGGCAGGTGGATTCCTTATCACCGAGATACCTGGAAAGCGGCCCTCCTCCCCCGTACACATAGGCAGCTGCCCGTGCATCTGCTCTCTCTCCCCAGTGACACTGAACATCCATCAGGGCTGAACCCACTTCTACTATCTATTAGCAGAGGCACACCGCTAAGTGTCCAGTAGGCCCAGAGTTACAAATCAAGGTGTGTGAGCTGTGAGGCTTGCCCTCTTTGAGAGCCGACAGTGCAGTTACCTGGTGGAGGACGTGCTGGGTAAAGACCGCCTCATCGCTCCCGGGCTCATGCTGTAGTATGAAGAGCTTTCTAAGTCTGAGAGAGAGAAATTGGGCCCAGTTCCTGCAGCTATTGGCGCTAGAATTAAAAAAGAAGAAAGAAATATCAGGTAAGGTCTGCGAATAAAAGATCGATGAGAGCATGTCTGTGTTACATTTGACACGTTTTATATCTGAGTTTATATGGTTAGCTTGTCCAAATTTCTCAGTGATGAACTCAGACCTTAAAAGAATTCTGACAGTAAAAATCCTCTGCATCAGAAGGACACATATTTTTTATAACACACCTTTCATCTTTCCTCTTTTTTTGTAATGGTAAATTGTCACTAAGGTTGCCATATTCCTGGATGCTTCTAACAAAAATACCTTCCTTCACATTTTGGTCTGCTACCTTTCTTGAACGACCAGCGTTCCCTGGGTTTTTCTAGCTTTGTTTGATCCTGATAGCTTCCACACATCTGTATTTTGGAATTAGTTCTGAATTGCAAATTCATCTTTTGCAGGTCACCCAATCCCAGTTTCATGCAATGAGAATGTGTGATTCCCCCTTACTCCCAAACACCTCAGCACCCTGCCTGCATACACCTTTACAGCACCTTACATACACCCTGTCCCACCTTCCAGTTCAAGGCAAGGTCCTCAAACTATGGTCCCTGAGCCATAATTTTTGTAGATAAAGTTGTACTGGAATAGCCCACCCCTTCATTTACATATCATCTCTGCTTCCACACTGCAAGGGCAGAGTAGCTGTGACAGAGCCCATATGGTTCACTATGCTGAAAATATTTATATAGGAAAATTTGTCGACCTCTGATTCAAGGGACTGTTAAAAATAACTTTGACTACACGTGATTTTCAGGGCTGACCCTTGTGTGAGATGTGATTCTCTGCACTTTTTATATGTCCTGGAGCCTCTAGATATCCTGTTTACAGGAGTAGCTTAATAAATATTTTAAAATGAATAAATAGCATCTACCAATCTTAAAAGACAATTCTGTGTAAAATTAGTGGTGTAATTATATACATGCAAGTAATCTGTTCTTTTGGAAGATTATACAAGATGGGAACAATAGATGTATACTTTTTTCTGTATCAAGGCATTAGTTTGAGAGTTTTAAAGTCCATAGAAGTGGATATATAAATAAATTAAAGAGGCTCATATCCATAAGAAGAAAGGATAATTGGGAAAATCATGAACCAGGGACTTTCACTCTTTCAACCAATGATTACTGAGAGTCTGCTACTGCCAAGAATTATGCTGGGTAAGGAAGACACTTAAATGAATGACATGGTCCCTACCCTGAAACAGCTCTAGAGAGTTAGGCTGACAGATTAATTTCAATACAGTCTGATAAGTCCTTTGCTAGAGTTATTCCTAAATTGATATGGCTGCATAGAAGTGGGTATCTAGCTCAGCCGAGGGATAAGAGGGTCAAGGGAGTAAAAGGGCCTCAGCAAATGTGAGGCCTGGGAAGAATGTTAAAAGGACAAGTAGGATTTATCCATTAGAGGAATGGAGGCATTCTAGGTAGAGGGAATAGCATTTATACAGGTAAGAGAACATAAAATGTGTATTGGATTATAATAACTTGGTAGGATGTGGTATATATTAACAATACATGGGGAAAGAGGGGAGATTTAAGGTCAGGTGGTAAAGAACTCGCTTGCCAATGCAAGAGATATGGGTTCAATCCTTGGGTCAGGAAGACCCCCTGGAAAAGGAAATGGCAACCCACTCCAGTAGTCTTGCCTGGGAAAGTCCATGGACAGAGGAGCCTGGTGGGCTACCATCCATGGGGTTGCAAATGAGTCAGACATGACTTAGCAACTGAAGAAAAACAATAACAATATGAAGGGTAGGTAGATTTCTTTAAGGAATATGAATTTGAGTTCAGTCAGTTCTCAAGTTTATAAGCTATGAAGCTCTTATCACACTCCAGTATAACGGGACTGTTGGGGTTATGCTGCTAGTATCTAATACAATCCCTTACACTAGGACGCAGTCAGTAAGCATTGGTCAAATGTAATTGTTAGTCAAAGGAAAACCAACAAAGTACAGGAATGCTATTGTCAAATCTGTACTTATAAACTAGACACGCCACCTGTGAGGAGGGTAACTGTGGGGTGGGGGGTGGGGCAGCTGAAGAATATAGTCAATAAAACCAGGGAGAATCCAAGGGATAGAAAGGAGGAGCCTGGAGACAGATGTTTAGGAGCTGAAATTGAGAACGTGTATTGACTTCTGGAGTGTGGTAATAGTGGGAAAGGAGGGGTACAGGATAATTCCTAGGACAGATGCTTGGGAAACTGGGGAGATTGTGAAGCCATAATAAAACTATGGGATTAAGACACAGCATGAGGGGCAAAGCAATTTCTAAAACAAACACTTAGTTGTTTGATAATGACAAAGGCTAGACCTTAATCACAACTATCATTCTATAAAAATAGTCACTGCTAAGAAATAGAAAATACTGAAATTCACATAGGCTTTCTGAAATTCAAACACATCTCTCAATGACACGCTCTAATCGAGGAAGGTCTTTACTTCAAAAACAAATGCTTAGGCTTGACAATGAGTGCAAACAGAGTTCTAATGAATAATTTTGCTAGTCATTCCCTAATTTGCTTTTTATATCAAACTTATTTGCATAATTTCCCCTTTGATTTCATAATACTTTATGCCTTAAATAGGCCATGGGGTACAGAGGGGATTGCAGTAATGGGGGCATGGTTCACCCATGACCCCTCTTAGCAGCCTGGCACATAATAGGTGGGTTTTTTTGTTTTTTGTTTTAATTTATTTGGCCGCACTGGGTCTTGGTTGTGGCACACGAGTTCTTCCGTCATTCCTTGCAGCATGCAGGATCTTTTTGAGTTGCAGCATTCGAACTCTTAGCTGTGGCATGTGGGATATAGTTCCCTGACCAGGGATCGAATCCAGGCCCCCTGCCTTGGGAGTGCAAAGTCTTAGCTACTGGACCACCAGGGAAGTCCCTTAATAGGTGCTTACAGTTTGTGCCTTCATGGAGCTTAGAGATTGGCATCTCTTATTAACTAAAAAAGAGGATATGGCTGGATTTAGATTTTCTTCACAAGTTTCAAGATGGGGTTGGTTGAGGCTTCAGCTGGATGGAGCACTGTGGAAACTGCATGACCCTACACCTTCCTCTTGGAAGGAAACACAGAGCAAAATGTATGGAAGATGGACTTGACTCAACGAAAGAAATCTGAGGCCCTCTATCTGCTGGTGAACATCCAGTTGCTCTTACATTTAACACTTTATCTATCATGCCATAGGGCTGCCCGGGTGGTGCTAGTGGTAAAGAACCCATCTGCCAGTGCAGAAGACATAACAGACGTGGATTCCATCCCTGAATTGGGAACATCCCCTGGAGAAGGGAATGTCAATCCACTCCAGTATTCTTGCCTGGAGAATTCCATGGCCAGAGGAGCCTGGTGGGCTACAATCCGCAGGGTCACAGAGAGCTGGACATGACTGAGGTGATTTGGAATGCATACACACAATCATGTTCTACTCTAGAAAATGTATTTTGCCTTGATTATATTTTTAAAATGTCAAGGGAGCCAGAATAGGTGAAGGAAGAAGAATACTCGTGTGCATATGGTATGTCCACTTCTCAGAGAGAATAAAAAAATAATTAAGCCCACAGAAATGTTCCTTAACTTGCCTGTATTTCCTTCCTGTGAGCCACTTAGTACACTGTAGCTGTAATCTAACAACATTGGGTGTCCTGGCAGCATGTGACACCTCCCATAGCACCTACTGATTTCTGGTGAATAACATCAGGATTTGATGTTATTCAAATCTGATATATATGTCTTGAGTTTTAAAACCTCACTAAATTTCTGAAATGAGACTGGGTTTCACACCTGAGTTACATAACCCTAATAACTCACAGATCCAAATTCTGCTTTCTTCAAAAGAGTCTTGTAAGGAAACATCATCCAGTCCCATCTGTGTGTATGTTTGGTATGCATGTCAGCTTATGGGAGTGGATTCTGATTCAGTGAAACTGTGACAGTCAAACAGAAAGGCTTTTTTATACCTGAAGGTAGAGGTCACGGTCAAAGTATCATTGCAATGCACTGGATATTCTCAGTGCCTCTAATCTGGGGAACAGGAAGAGTCTTGCCAAGTCACTAACAATTCAAAAGGTGGGCTTTTGGTAGGTTTTTCTGAGTACCTGGGGGCTCATGTTTTGAGAAGCACTTTATTTATTATGCCTAACTTAAATCTTAAACAATCTTTTCAGGAAAGGTACATTTTCTAGATGAGGCAAACTAAGCCCTTGAGTGAGGTTAAATCACTTGCCCTGGATCACAGAAGGCAAGAAAGAGACAGCCGGGGTTAAAATTCAAGGATGTCTGACCTCAAAAGCCGGGCTTTTTCTGCTGTACCACCCTGAATTTCATGTACAACATTGGTCTTAAACTTGAGATGATAAAAAGGTAAACATTGTATCTGCCCCCACAGGGTTTATAACCTAGTGGAATAATAAAAAAAATTATACCTGAATATCTAATGCAAGGCTAAATGTGTTAAATCTCACAGGGGAAATGACTAGAATGTGTTAGGGAGGTTCAAAGGAGTAACAGATCTCACTGGCTTGTGGGATCAGGAAAAGGGCTGACTCCAGGAAGAATGGGTGCTTAAGCTGAGCTCTCAAGGCAGGTGCGGGTTTAAAGAAGCCCAGAAGGAGATAGGAGAGGGTTCCTAGGCAGAAGGGAGTATGTAAGGTAAGTTTGGAGGTAGGAGGTAAGACAGTGATCTGTGGGATCCATGACACTTCCTGAGTACGGGAGTGATAGAATAATGACTGAGTCTGAGCAATGTTGCCTCGTGCAGGCTTCCCAGGTGGTTCAGTGGTAAGGAATCTGCCTGCCAGTGCAGGAGATGCAGGAGATGTGGGTTCAGTTCTTGGATTTGGGAGCTCCCTTGGATAAGGAAATGGCAACACACTCCGATATTCTTGCCTGGGAAATTCCACAGACGGGGAAGTCTGACAGGCTACAGTCCATGAGGCCACAAAGAGCTGGACATAACTGAATATGCATGCA